CCTTCTCCATCGCCAGCCTGAGCCTGCCAGACAAACCACGTGTTGTTGGCGAAAAAGGTTTGACGTCTCTGACGCAACATTCCGAAACATCTGGTACCATTTCGCCTGAAATGGAAACACTTCCATTCCATTGCGCTTGTTCCATGTCTTCTGCTACCGTCTTCTGCTGCGTCAACCAGTCGACTTCACTTTCACCGCCAATTGCTTCTGTCGCCCCGTCCATCTCTTCTTCTCCATCCTCCGTTTGGCCCACTTCAACTCGACTCATGAAGACATTCCACACGCCTCAAAGGCCTCCTTCTGCGAGACGGTCATCTGGACCCTTCCAGACTTCGCTCCACACGACCTCCTCTTTCAAGCCCGACATTGGCGCTGTTGAAGGCCAAGTTCGTGATGCATGTGTTGGCGAATTGAATGTCAACAGTTTGTGTCAGGTTTGCGGCGACCGAGCCAGTGGACGTCATTACGGCGTCGTGTCGTGTGATGGTTGTCGCGGCTTCTTCAAACGGTCCGTTCGCAGAGACACCGTCTACGCCTGCAAAGAGATCGGATCGTGTCCAGTCGATCTGATCCGACGAAACCAATGCCAGGCGTGTCGTTTCGCAAAATGTCTGGCCGTCAATATGCGGAGAGAAGGTGAGTGAGACGAATCAACTTTTTGAGGAGAGTAGAATTTAGTTGATACACAATCCAATGTCACATCGGTTGGCGTCTGCTGCAGAGTTGTGAAATGGTATGAGTTTTGTGTATGGATAAATTGGACAATTTGACATCATCCTGAACCGTGGTACAGGACAGACCAACACCAGCTGACCGGAAAACGGTAGAAAAGGTCATCACTCACCAAAATGCATCAAAATTGCTCACAGTCATAATTAAAAGGTGATCTTTTGTCGGTTTTGGGTGCGGTTGATGCATGAATGCCGTTTGATATGTCTATAATGATGTGTTTTGGGATCATTTTAAACTCAGCTGTTGGTCATTTCTAGAAAATATGACAATTTCGTTAAATTGGATGAACAATTAGTCTTTTTATTCTGCCACAGTCAGATCAGTTGGCTTCATGTGCCTGAAATTAAATTGAGAGAATGCAGCTCTTCTATCAAATCAGCTGATACAGTCTCAAAACCTATTTATAAAACAGAAAAATGAAGAAATTTATTAGTTCATATTTAAGAAACTCGTATGGTAGATACGCAACTTGGTCAATTGCTTCGTCGTTAATCCCACCATAAATATGTGATTTGGGAGAGATCTGGCATGCATTAATACGCATATTTGCGCTGTCATCGACTCTTCTCCCCGGTTGTCTGGCCAAATGGTATGTTGTTGCTGATGCGTCTGTTTCGAGGCTCGTTTTGGTACAAAACGGAAAAGGTGAAGCGAGCTAGAAGCCTCAGACCGGTCCAGACGGGGCGTAGAAACATTTTATAGGAAATTACAAAGCAAAATTAAATGAGATCTCTATCCTTTGTCTGAGAAACTTGGAAATTATCTCACTTTCGACTATCAGAAATTGGGGGGAAATGCCAATATCCGTCATTAACTCGCCCTAAGTGACCTAACCCAGAACAGTTATTAGCCAGGCGATACCGAATGTCTTGAAGCTTATAAAAAACAAATTAAAAATGTGTTTAGAAAGTAAATACAGATTTTAGATTTTAAAAAATAAGGCTGGGCAGAAGCTGAACTGCTCCTTTTGGAGCTGCAATAAAAAAGGTCTCATTCTATATTAATAGGCTAGTACAGTATTAGAGAATTTAGCGCAGTTCAACTCTCATTTGAGATTGTTTGTATTTCCATTTTCCCAAAAAATAGGACGAATACAGTTCTTATTAAAAATCGACTTGTCTCCTCGAAAACCCAATTATAAACCAACATTTGTACTTTTATTTAGAATTTAAGTGAAGTTTCGAGACTATCAGTAATTCAGTAGTATGAGATATATTCATCCAATTTCGTTGAAGGTGATAAAGAACAGGTTTGATGTGAATTTCAAGGAAGGACATGCCTTTTGTTCTCCTCATCATATTGAGGGAAAATTATTCTACCAGTCCTTCATCACCTCAAACGAAATTGGGTGAATACATATTATACTACTGAATTACTGGTATCCTCGAAACTCTACTTAAATGCGAAAAATTATTAAAAACAGGCAAAATACGATAGCGCTATTTATCTAGTTGCGAGTGATAGGATGACAAATTGAATAAATCATTTTCATCTATGAGAATGTATTCGAGCCTATTTGTAGATTTAATACAGAAGCTGTATTCAATTCATCAACCTAAACGAACTTTGGTGAATATATCTCATACTACTGAATTACTAGTAGTCTCGATACTCTACTTAAATGCTAAAAATAAGTAACGTAGTCGATTTTTATAGCAAAAATACATTTGCTTCATCGACAATCCCTCCAAAGAATATGCCATAACAAAAAGCCTAGCCTTCCTTGAATTTCACATCAGCCCTTTCCTTCATCATCATAAACAAAATTGGGTGAATAATCTCATACTACTGAATTACTGATAGTCTCGAAACTCTACTTAAATGCGAAAAATAATCAAATCAGGCTAAAGACTATTACGCTATTAATCCAGTAGCGAGTGATAGAATGACAAATTAATTAAATCATTTTAATTTATGAGAATGCAATCAAAACTATTTGTAAATTTGATACAGAAGCTGTATTCAACTCATTTATTTTGAGTTGACGAATGATTGGTTAAGGAATGTTGAGACAACATGACAAAGGGGCCTCCTGTTGCCAAGGTGACTGAGTAGAACGCACCTAGTCCTAAGTCGTCATAACTCAGTCGATTTGGTACATTCTTAGACGTTTCGTCGGCATCATCATCGAAGGCTGCCAGTCTCTGCAACAAGCGAAGACGAGTTCGTCGATTAGGTCTACTCAGTCGCCCTGGCAACAGCAAGACAAAGTCGCGAAAACGAAGTCAAGCCACTTCAATACTTCTTCTAAACTGCTGCACCATAGTTTTAATAAGCGTGGTTAGGCAATTATCAAAAAATCTTATTAAATCTCCTCCATTTTTCGGTACTATCTTACCTTGAGATGATTGTCAAATGAGTAAAGTATTGCTCATGTTTAGCCAGCCACAGAGTTTTCATGTTCATCGCTGACCTGATCGGGTGTGGAGGACAAATCTGAATGGAAGCAAACGGAGTTGACCTCTCTCTCTCTCTCTTTCTTCCTCTCTCTCTCACTCTGTATTTCTACTGGATTGCAGAATCCAATAAGTGAAATTAATAAATCTAATGAATAACATGTTTAATTGCTCTTAAAATAGTTTAATACTGTCTCTTGCATTGCAAAATGCGTCTCATCTGAGTCCCAACGAGGGACACGAACTTAGGCCACTCGGGCCAGGCACAACTAACTCCCAATTCGCTCGAATTCAGTCAAGACGAGAACGGACTGGTAGTTGCATTTTCCCACAATCTCACGAGTAGGCTACAGATGGCGGAAAATGGAAATAACTCGCAAGCATGCTTTATTTGGGAATAATTTTCGAGTGATCCTTTTTTGGCAAAATATTATCCATAATTAATGAGTTACCACTCGATAGCACGGTCGTGATTATCATCTGCATTCAGCCCAAGTCGTGAACTGTGATAAATGACTGATAGTTGCATTTTCCCACAAGCTGATAGATAACTTTCATATTTCCTTTTAAAATTCACGTGGCTTTTATTCCCAATTTGGTATACTTTTATCTCATCAACAGCTCCAGTAGAGCTGCTCACTTATAATTTTTTCCTCACTTTTACCGAAATTGAATGAGTACATTTCATTGAAATGATCTGTTTATTGTCTCGTAGACCAGCTTATAGACCAACAAAACTTCATTTATTTACACAAAGAACAGTCCTTTCTGAATAAATCCGATGGGAAATATGTTTTTTTTGTACACTTGCTAAGCCGCCTGGGCCGATAAGACAGAGAAAAACTGCCAATCCCTCCCAAAGTCATCATTCCATTTGGGTTGATAGCAACCACATGCTTGCATTTCGATGCAAGGCTCTCCAACAAACTTGTTCAATTTATGTGAATTGTATGTTCTAGAAAATTATTATTGCCGGCACTGATTGCCCTCTAAAACCCATTCGGCCACGGTTCGAGTCCCGCCGAGTTGCTGGTGTGACTCATAGACGAAGTGTGACTTGAAGTCCCGCTTCAAGTTTGCGTAGAAATGAGCAAAAGCCTTCTCTTGACGGCATCGTTGCCAAATCGGCCATCATGTCAATTGAAAGCAGCAACTGCAGAACACCTCGACTCAGTCGGCGTCTCGAGAGATTGAAGACAAACCGACTGTGTGACTCTGGAATGCATTCATTAAATTCTTCGATCAAGTCATGTAAGTAGACTTTTCATGCAAATATCTCCGCTTCCTCCCACTTGGCGTCGGTCTAAAATGCAATACAGATTTCTATTAGTTATTTATTGTATTAACACAATTCTGTGTGATTTTGCAAAAAGTCGTCAGAACGAATATTCTCGACGTGGGATTCATCAGAAATGCTGAATTCTTGCAGGCAAGTGGACATTTTCGCTAAATCCACCTCTCGACTCTAAAATTAAAAAAGATTTCTTTGAGTAAATACTAAATTATTTAGTGTCAAAGGTGAACTGCTGGCTGGCTCACAGCAAAACTCGATCGTTGGGGAGGAGTGCCCCAAAGCCT